AATACATAAGTCCCCGTTTTTGGACTTAGTCCGAACAGGGACTAAAAATTCTTCATGGGAATAGACAGACTTTCAATAGTCAAATTACAATATATTCTTAAAAACCCACTCAATAGCTAAAAACAACAGAAATATCTCATTTCTAGGAATGATTTATATTATATAATTATATTTTTACCGATGGGTTGCTGCTTGATGTGCTAATGCATATTCGTACATCATTCTGAGGCGACGCCTTTCTCTTTCTCGTATTTTGGCTCGGATTCTGAACTCTTCTGTCATTTTAAGTATCTCTGGATCATCTTTTTTAGGTGACAAATCTAAAGTAAATGTTGCCAATGGTGGAAGCTCAACCTGAAAAACAATCATGTAAATACTAAGCCAGCAGGCATTAAGATAAGTGCATTTTAGAACTGGTAGAATTAATGATATCCGTTTTCCCAATATTATAAAATCAGCCACAGAGCTAACCCACTTTATGTGCACTCATCTTCATATTTGCATTTCAGTTATACTTTTGACAAGGTGAAAAAATTTTTCTAATACTCACAATCACAATCACTATAGAACAAAAATGGCAATGATACTAGCCATATTACCAATTTAATATTTGTGTGTAATATTGCTTGTAAACTTTAGCCAAATAATTTTGTAATACATGTGTGATAATGGTTGCTCTTACCTTGGGAAATCTTTGATCTACAGCTAATGCCTTAGGATGAATGGATGTTCTTCTGCCTTTTACGGGTGTGGATAAATAACCATAATTCTATGAATGACACAAATATACTTCATTACAACAAATATGAAAATTAACACACACACATATTAGCAATGTGGGAATAACTTTGCTAAAATGTTGCAAAGCTTCCTGTAATATGTTTTTTGCTAAGAGTGAATTATAATCCACTGCATATCCTGGATTCTGATTGGTCAATGGGTCTAGCCATGTGATAAATTTAAAAAACATGTATACATTTACCACAGATTGTACTATACAGTGCATTGTAGTCTTATGAATAACACAAATATACTTCATTACAACAAATATGAAAATTAACACACACACATATTAGCAATGTGGGAATAACTTTGCTAAAATGTTGCAAAGCTTCCTGTAATTTGTTTTTTGCTAAGAGTGAATTATAATCCACTGCAAATCCTGGATTCTGATTGGTCAATGGGTCTAGCCATGTGATAAATTTAAAAAAACATGTATACATTTACCACAGATTGTACTATACAGTGCATTGTAGTCTTATGAATAACACAAATATACTTCATTGCAAATAATGTGAAAGTTAACACACATATATAATTAGCTTTGATTAAAACAAATCATTTGATTTCTCAGACCCGACTTCTTCCAATTGAAATATTATATGGTAATTATATAATATTATAACAAAGTTACAAATTACCTTTTTAAACTGCTGTGTAACTGCCCATGATTGGGCTCCTTTTGTACTTGGTCGGGAAGGTTCTCTATCTTCTTCTATTTGCACCATAGGAATAAAGCTATCAGCTGGGAGGTTAGCTTTGTCAGATGAGTGGTGACTTGATACTGAGATCGCTGTAAGAAATGACAATATATATTTGAGACATGTAATAAATGGATCAATGATATTAAATAACAAGAAATCATTATGGTGGAAATAAAAGCTGTGGTAAACACGCTGTGAATAAAATTCAAAGGGAGTGCTTTACAATAAGACAGGGCACATAATCCATGTTAGTGGGTGACCAATCCTTGTTTCTGTTATTAACTGCATTGTTAAGGAATGTGTTAGTGTCATCAAAACCCAATCAGTTTAGTGTAGTGTAGGTCAGATCATATGTTATTGGTTTTATAATCTCAATAAGAAAATAGTGGTGGATGGGTGGGTGTGTGTGTGTGTTGATAAGCAATGAATAGATGAATGAATAGATGAATGAATATATGAATGAATGAATGAATGAATGAATGAATGAATGAATGAATGAATGAATGAATGAATGAATGAATGAATGAATGAATGAATGAATGAATGAATGGATGGATGAATGAATGGATGGATGAATGAGTGATGAATGAATGAATGCAGTGATGAATGAATAAGTGGATGAATGAATGAATGAATAAATGAATGAATGGAGGAATGGAGGGAGGAATGAATGAATG